TAGCAAATCTGGTCAATCTGGTGCTTTTTTATTAAGCAATTTTATTATTCAAGCACTTATTTTTATATACTTACCCATGTGTTCTTTTACATATTTTAAAATGTAGCTACTGCCTATAAATAAACTTAACCTTTCTGGCCAGGACATAGTGAAAGTAACAGCTTGTCTGTGTCATTGGGGTAATATAATTAGATTTGAAAACCCCCTTCCCACTATGGATTAACCCAGTGAATCTGCAAGCCAGTAGACCACAACTGTTATCTTGGACAGACCTAAGTGCCAAATAAGTATAATTCAGATTCTTGTATGGGTGACTAAGTTTGAATTAGAAATAATGATTAGCAGTGTCTTTGCTATGTGTGAGTCTTGAGGATTAGAGTATACTGAAGCTTTAGAGTTTCTTAATCATCAGCTGGTAAACAAGCATTGCAAAAGCGATTGTACATGCGCTGGTCCAAGTGATGCCTCCTTAGGTTACAAAACATCTCAGCCTGGGGTCAAGCAAGCTGTGCTGCAAACAAACACAAGCTCTGATGCCAAACTGAATCCATACTTCAGGGTACAGGTCACAACTAGCCTGCCTAGTAAACCCTAGAACCAGTTTAAAGCCTGCAGTCAGACAACGAGGGGCATTTTGGATATGAAGAGGAGGGGTAGCAAATGACTCAAATAAGCCTTCTCATATGTTCTGCTAGCGTAGAGTCTGTCCATTTTGTCAGTTCCGGTAATCAGGAAACAGACTACAGTTATGGACAACAGAAGCAAATGAGTGTAAAAGACTGACATGGTTTTCATCCATAATTACATATATAGCTGTAGGAAAATTATTAATGATAAGACAGGCTGCTAGGTTTACTATAAAAAAGTGGCATAAGAAGACAGCTTGTTGCACACATCATAACAACCAACAACTGTTTCTGTACTAGCTCAACAAGCATGTTCCTTAGTCCAAAAATAGATTGGTAGGTCATGTACAGGCAAGCCTGTCTGATCTGGACTGATAACTGTATAGATTTGACAATCACAGGACTTTTTGTAAGAACTCATAGACCTGAAATTCATATATCAGAATGAGAGCTTTTAGGTTTTTTCCTCTCAAATGTGTCTTGGTTGTTTTATGACACAAGCACGTGACACTAGCCAGTATGTAGACTGCCTTCTGTATGGTATGCAGGTTGAGCCACTAGGGGTGCTATTATATGTAGGCATGTGTTTGTGATATCTTTGGCATTGAAAGTGAAAGACGGCAAAGATAAACGAGGCAAAATTCCCCCAGCTCTCCACATGAGGAGGGAGTGAAAGCAAAATTGTGATCTAAACTCCCCACCAGTAATTTGGGCTTAAAGCCAAATGCATGCTGCAACTTGGGCAGTGACTTGAGCCCCTTCAGTCTGGACACAGAGTTACTGTCTGTAACCACTGTCTGTCTCACACACATATATATATATAACTGTGGCTAAATATTCATGCAATTTGTGTAAACATTATATTACAATACTACCAAGAAATTTGTTTAAATGAAAAAAATCTAAAAGAACTAAAAAATTTTTTTTTTAAATTACATATACTGTATGTGCTTATGAAATATATATTTGCTAGCAGAAATCCATAAATATTCTATTGTACATTTTCGTTGTGTGTGTGTTGCTTGTATGACTAACAGCACTTCTGAACACAAAGATCAGACCATCATTTCTGAATCCAGCTGTTGTGTAGCAGGGGAATATTTGACCTACACTGATGAGTTCATGCCAGCATTGTATCCATTGACTGCTGTTGCCTACGACTCTGTCCTACCGTAATAAATATTCATGTTTTTGTTCTGCATTGCTCAATAAGTCATTTATAGTTGCACAGCAGAAGGAGCCAGTGTTCATGTCTGTTCCTAGATTTTTTTTTTTATTAAAAAAAAAGGTCCAGCCAGTTACAATTCTCCATTTTATTTTTATGCTTATTGTATGCATTATTTTTATCTATTTTTTTACGTCACACTTGTTGAGTGCATGTCAACAGTAAAGGTTATTGTGACAAAAGTATTCTCAATGAATCATCAAATAAATTAATTTATAAATAAAATACATTTTTTAAATGACTTAAAATTAGCTACCTTTCTTTTCTAACCTGACGGTCACAGAAAAATGATCAAAATACTTTCTGTTAATCCAGGCAAGACAGGCATTTAGAGCACTTTGCTGGTACAGTACAAGCATAAATAACTGACAGGTGTATTTCTGGTTTTGAGTCTGAAATCTGAATGATTGGTGCCTTGTACTATCATTTTTTTTTTAATCAGACTTTAAAAAGCAAAAATACACCATTTTGTAAACATCAATCTACAATATGCTACTTACCTCTTTAATGTCTTCACTATCCATTTGACTTCTTGAGAGTGGAGTCACCACCCCCAAACTTCCATCATCCATAACTGAATCATGCCCCAATTCTCCAATCCCTCCACCTCCCATCCTCATGGTCAAACTTGCTGAGTCCTCCATGTCCACCAGCTCACCACCACCATCCCAGGAACCAGTTAGGCTAGGTATAGTCATCCCGCTGTTGTCAGACTCGCTGTGGACCAGCCAGGCCTCGAGATACGCTGTTGGAATGTGCAGGTGCTGCAGAGAGCGTACCCAGTTCAACAACCTGGGACTCGGGACAAAGGCCTCCACATCTGGGCTCTTCAGGTGGAAACCATATCCTTCTGGAGAGTTCTGGAAGTTGTTGGACTGGGTCTGGGTCAGATCTGGGCTTTGGATATTGATGTTATGTGGAGGAGAACGGTAAGGATCCACATCTACATGCATCCCAGCTAAACTGAGGACAATGGCCACCTGAATTAGGCCTTCAGTGAAGTACTTCTTCAGGGGTTGCATGGCCCTTTGAAAACACACAGTGGGGAGGGATCTTTTTCAGCAGTATGGTGGATGCAGTAGTGGATTTCAATAAGCAAACCTGTTTTTCAGAAAGTGAGGTGTCTCACAATGTCCTAAAATGAAGGAAAATATTATGAGTTAGGCAACACACAAAGTTCGTTGTAAATGTTCTCTTCCTGCTTTGACAACCAACAAAGCAAGCTCAGATAAAGTATGCCCCTATGTGCACATACGATATATCATAAATGATCAGGACATACATTTCAAGATACTTATTTTGTTAACATATCTGCATACAATTTACAGACGTAAATGAATGATATATGGATAATACATATGTAGATTTTACATAGGCCTAGATAAAGATACTGTTTACAGTCTCATTCATCTTCATTAATCACTTTATCCTGCAGGGTTGCGGTGGATCTGGAGCCTGTCCCAGGAACACTAGGCATGTGGCAGGAATACACCCTGAATGGGACGCCAGTCCATTTTGGCACTATATGCACAAACCCATTCACACACTCATTCATACCTAGGGGCAATTTAGAGTCACCAGTCTACCTGCTGGCATGGTTTTGGGAGGTGGAAGGAAACTGAAGGAAACCAACATGTACACAGGGAAAACATGGAAAACTCCTCAGAGAGGGTACCCCGAGCTTGGGCTCAAATTGCAGACCCTGGAACCGTGACATGGCAATGCTCTCACCTTTAAACTGTTATACTGAATTGATTTAAATATGGCGCTAAACTATTTTTTTTTTTACTGAAATTCATCCTTCCTACAAAATATCATATAACCTACATGATAAATTTGTTGAACACATGGTATGGTTTGGGTTGATACATTCCATCTATTAAAAAAAAAAAAAAAGATTATTTCGAATAATTTGGCGCATATGACGTAATGGACCTCCATATATGGTCATTAGAATATTTCCTTATGGGAATGCTTCCAGCTCGTGGCGTGTCTAGAATCTGCCAGAAAGATTTGACAGATGAAAGATAAAGCAGTGTTCTTGAACTTTGCACCAAAATAGCATGCCAAGGCCCGGGAAGAGGAGTTATTAAGACAGATGTCGTGTCCCGTTGACCTCCTCTTTGTTTATCTCCAGCGGCGGTTGAGTTTCAGCGCGTGACGTAACCTGAACGCTTCCCGGGAAATAAAGCTGGCAGTTTGGGCTTGGTGTGTCATTCAGTTACTCAACCCAAACTTTCCTTTCGTAACTTAGGAACGTGACAGTGTTTATTTGGGATGAGGAAAACAGTTGCAACATGTTTCTATGCGTAGGATCTATACAGTGTCTATAGAACAGTGTGTTCAACAAAATGACTCGGAAATTAATGAGTGAAATGAAAAAGCGTTTAGTTTTTAAGCACTTAGAGCTACAACAATGCCGTGAGTAGGCTAGTCTGAAATCATGGTTCAACCTCTTCAGGAAAACAAAATGTCCTTAATTGTTCCTGTGTCCACTGAAACGTCTTATTACAACTATTTTGAAACTTGACTTGAACTTTTCAGCTTTTCCACCCGTACTATGTTTGTATTACGTGCGTCGCGCGCTGTATAGGATCTTCCTACACTCTAAGTATAAACTAACCGGAATCTCTACAAATAATAAATCTGCGCTCCTTACCTCGGCACAGGAGTTTCAGCTATGAGAAGTTAAGGCAGATTTTTCCTCTTCCTACCGGCGAGCTGGCTTTATTGTTGCGCTCTGTAACGGGGGGTGTGTATTTATGTGCTGAGTGGCTGCTCAGTAATCATCCCTCCCAGCTCCACGCCGTAACACAACAGTTACGTTTTTTTCTCCCTGTTGGACAAGCCAGGGTTGCCTTTGTTTTACACAACCGGAAACAAACATGCATCGTTTAGATTTTTGGAAAAGAAAAAGAAAATCTGGTCCGATTAGCACTGCACCCACTTTTAACTACATTTGGCTGACTAAATTAAGCTGACTATTAAGCAATAACAACCCGTGACTGTTAGTCTGGATGGATTGTGTTATTGCTGTTGCTCATTTACAGTAAACTAGTAAACTTACTAGTAAACTTTATTTCTTTAAAATCTTTACCTTTACCAGCTATTTACATAATCATGATGATAACTTTTTATATTTAAGAAGGGGCAAGGTGGCTTAGTGGTTAGCACACTTGCATTACTCCTGTGGTTGAGGGTTCAATTTACACCCCTGCCCTGTGCATGCTCCCCTTGCCCCTCAGGGGCCCACTCCAGGAACCCTAGCTTCCTCCTCTAGTCCAAAGACACACACTGTAGGCTGATTGGCATCTCTAAATTGTCTGTGGTGTGTGATTGTTCCCTGGGATGGGTTGGCACCTGTCCAGGGTGTCCCTCACCCTGTGCCCCGAGCCCCCTGGGATGGGCTCCAGGTTCACTGCAACCCCATGTAGGATAGGTGGTACAGAAGATGGATGGATGGATTTAAGTAGGCTATAGGGTATGATTGTTACACTTCACCATACCACCTTGACCAAAAAAAAAAAAAAAAACTTACTTTGGCCTGCTACAAACTGGTGCAACTGATGACATTTTCATTTTCTCACTTTCATTAACCACTTTATCCTGATCAGGGTTGTGGTTTACCTGGAGCCTATCCCAGAAACGCTGGGCATGAAGCAGGAATACACCCAATTCACCTACTGACGTGTAACCACAGTTACATATGAGTTGTATTTCACCACTTTAAACCACCTCTGTGGGTGTGAATCACCTGTAAAACCTATGCCATGATGTTCTGAGGAACTGACAACCTTAGGACAATCTAGAAAAGTGTTCAGAGACCGCCACACTCCCTGCTGCCACTGATCCCTGAGAAAGTGCACGGTGATGGCCAGGTAGCAGCCTCAAAGTAATGCCCATCAGGAGGAGATTCTGCTTGTACAGTGGCATGTTATGGTCTCCTTCATGGAATCCTGCAAAGCCAATTGATTTATTTACAAAATTGAGTAGTATAATTTGCACTTTGCTTACTTCAGCCACAAGGTCACCCTGAGTCATCTGGCCACCAGTGAATGGATGATGAGCAATCACTAGTAAAAAGCCATTTTTAGAGACCTGAATTTCAGATTGCTATTCTGCATAGGCTCATAAGGAGAGGCCTTAAGGGACTCTAGCACAAGCATCCCACATAGGGCTCTGGGGGAATCATGCAGGACGTAGGAGCCCCCTTTTTTCACGAAGATTGGAAAATATTTTGTGAGACCCCAGAGAGATGCCATCCATGGTGTCGTGATTTGTGAAATGGCTACCACATATGCCTTCCTTATAAATGTGAACTTGCTGCTGTCTAGCAATTCCTGAAGTATTTTGGTAATCGGGCAATACAGCAGATCCAGTCAATGAGGTGCATACCATTTGGGGAACAGCTTTCACTTGAGGATATACAAGGCTGGTTGTACTAGAGGCTCTTGCATTCAGGAGTGTTTCTACATTTTGTAATCTATCCCATGGGACCTAATGCACAGGTGACCTCGCTGAGGGTGCCAAATCTCTCCATCCATTTGGGATAGCAGGGGAGGAAGACATCAGTACACCAGAGTCAGAGACAAAGGCGGAAAGGATTACAGTGGTGAGGCCATCCGCCCTGTCCCAGCATCCTGTCCGGCTTCTCCAGGGAGAAACCCTGCACTGCACCACACTCTCTCCGATCCTCTAGCACTGCTCGACTGAGGCTTGAAATCTATTTATCATGTCCTGTAGTCAGCCCAGAATCCTCTGGATCTCTTTTCTGAACACTTAACACTTATGATTTGATGCTGTTAGTGAATGTAGACATCTATCCATCCATTCTCTGTACTGCTTATCCTACACAGGGTTGCAGAGTAACCTAGAGTCTATCCCAGGGGACTTGGGGCATAAGGCAGGTGCACACACACTCACGCAATTTGGAAATGCTAATTAGCCTAATTGGACTGGAGAAAGAAACTGGAGTACCTGGAGGAAACCCCCAAGGCCCAGGGAGAGCATGCAAACTCCATGCACACTGGGCAGAGGTAATAATCGAACCCCCAACCCCAAACCCCAAAAGTGTGAGGCAACAGTGGTAACCACTAAGCCACCCTGTCCCCCTAACGTGGCCATTTAAACCCTAAACCAGTGATTTTCAAATAGTGTAATATTAAATTACAAAGATACACTGGCGTGTGCCAGTCTTTATTAAAGCACGCAACATTTGCCAAGCACTGAGTTCACTCAACTACGTCCATTAAAATACTGCTAAGTAAAAAATGCTCTTGTGATAACAGCGTCAGAAAAAGTATAAACAAATCCAAGATATTCCTCAAATCGCTGGCCTCCATTAACCTGCAACTGCCGCCATTCTGGTTCTGTGACGGAGTGATACGGAATCAGGTTGCAAGGGAATCGAGATCCAAAATGGCGGCTAATAGAGCACAGTTGGACTTCCGTTTAATTTTTTTTAATTCAAGAAACACGAACACTTACACTTACGTTCATCTGCAAATATTAAACATTCTACAGTTAAGTGTGTATAAACCAGTTATAAAACAGTCAAGGGCTTCCGTTTAACTCGCTAGCTTTCGTTCCAGGAACTTCCGTACTAAACGTCACCACACGCAGTGTAGTATCAGAGCATACTATTTAGTAGTTTAGTGCGCAGGGTTGGATTTAGCCATTTTGGCGGATTTGCTCCACCCCCTGTATGAGTCAGAGGTTTTTACGAGCGCCCCAGTAGTGACAGCTCAAAGCTGTCCACGTCAACACTAAACACCACCATGGACTCCGTGACTCTGGTAGGCTATCTGAGATCTTCTTTTTCATTCAGAAATATTTATGGTCAGTGTTATGGTGAAAGAACGCACCTGTTGATTAGCCTTTTGCCTTTTTTTCCCCTCAGAAGTGATCATGTTCGCATAGATTACAGCAACAGAACAGCATACATTGCTCTTGATGGGATTAAAAAGCTATCGTGCTAACAAGAGTGTTTTAAACGACTGTAGCTTATTATATGACACAGCTAGACATGTGAGGAGTTTATATCCGTCGAAAATGTGTGCTTTGAGAAATTAAATGCACGCAGTCCAACGAAAATGTGTGGATCAGACTGTAACAGATGTTACTTCTCTGAATATGGCACAGCAAGGGAAAAAAAAAGGTATCAGTAATATCACTGGAGATATTACAGTATATATGTGCACATAATCAGTATTGTGCTCGAGGTGCAATGCAGTGTGTATGGTGTGATGCTGTGCTTGACGAGCAGTTGTGTAAAGTTGTGCAGCAGTAGTGTGGAGTTGAAGTTGCGCTGTGTGCGCACTGCCTGGTGGGATGCGGCTGCCACGTCCTCTGTCATGGAGCGCCTCAGCACAGCAGTCTAATTCATTCCACAGGTGGATCTCTTCAGTGTTTCTTCAGAGCTGGGAAACGATTTTCCTTACTCAGTTTTGTCCTTTTGCACTAGTTGACAGTCAGAGGTTTAGCAAACAGGTCCATATCCATGCACCACCACCATGATTATTCTTATTTTTTTCCTCTCTCACATCCACAGCTATAACAATGGCCTTTAAGCTTGCTGACATTTGTCTTTAAAGTACTACTACTACTGTTAAATAAATAGATAGATAGATAGATCTAACTCTTCTAACGTCCAAAACATTCAGGTCTAAAAATATGTAATGCTGAAGACAAACATTGTAGAAAATATCATTTCTGAACATACAAAAAATCACACAGTTTAGGACTGTTGCAAGAGGTAAATAAATAAATAAACAAAAAAAATTAACATCTTCCCACTAAAAAAAAACTAGTTAAAATAAAACTTTCTAATCGACTTTCAGATGAGTCTGGCAAAAAAAAGCAAAAAACAAACAATGTAAAAAACTTTCTATTTATTTAAAAATCATGTAGAACGTTAGTACAGATTTAGAACAGCAGATAGTCTAGAGAGCTGCAGAAGTTTGCGTTAATTTACACTAATACTGTCAAGTTATTTGGAGGTGATTTCCAATTCATATTTTCCTAAAATATATAAAAAAAAAAGAGCCTTATATTTGACTGTCAGTGAAAGAGGACACTATGCATGAATAGGTTAAACATGCATTTTTAGCCAAGCCAGCGTGTAAGTGCGTACACTTCCAAATGCGTTGTCTAATATTCATTAAACCATTTGGGAACGACGGACAGCTATCCCACGGTGGAGCCTCTTTCTTGCACTTTTTAGGTGCTCCTGAAAGTAACCTAATCGTGACATTGATTGAAACTCTTACAGTAACGGTGACCTACTCAGTTTTCCTGCAGCCATCTTTCGCCAACATCAGTCCTCCAGGCCCAAGTTCTGTGGTACACTCCGACTCTGGATCAGTGGCAGTCAGTGCATAACAGAACTTTGGTCTGGAGAGATTCTGCAAAATGGACGAGGAGGGAAAAAAAGAAGCACTCTGGACCAGCAACACCTGCTTCCTTCTATAACCTAGTCTTCTTTTTAAACTTATTCATGTTTCTAACCCTGTACTGATTGCCATTTCCAGATAATATTTACTACAAAAGTGAAAAACCTATAGAAAATTGTTTAATTAAGACGTTTTTGTACACAGGAGCCTTCGCTGTACACGGTTAAAGCAGTCTTCATCTTGGATAATGACGGAAACCGACTTCTTTCGAAGGTGAACCGCACGTTTTTTCTGCTTATTGTACTTTATTCACAACTTTAGCTTTTTATGTTGAAGAAACCAGTTATAAAAACGTATTAATTCTCATTCTGTAACTGAGCTCTGTTGCTGTCCTATTTCTGATGTTAGACCAAAGAAGAATGTATATGAACACACCCTTAAGCCTCACCTTAATGAGAATGATTGTCAGGTGTGAGGCTTAATCTGAATCACACCAGAAATACTCCACCCAGTGAGCAACATTACTGTTAAAGTCAAGGACAGGTTGAGAAAAGGAACAGGATTATTATTTGAATTGTTTTTAATTGGATTATTTTGTGCTGTGCACGTGTAAAACGTGATTTACAATGGACTGTTTTGTACTTTCAGTACTATGACACAGAGCTGTATCCCTCTATGAAGGAGCAGAAAAATTTCGAGAAGAACGTCTTCAACAAAACACATAAAGCAGACAGTAGGTTTTTCAGGTTTCTGTTTGTATTTGAGAACGTGTGTGAACTGAAAAGGGTAATATTGACAGAATAAACCATCAGTTCAGGTTAAGAGCATA